ATTTTTTAAATCACCTAGATTTAATGAATCATGTTTAGATAGAGAATTAAATGCAGTTGATAATGAATTTGGAGCACTTCTTAATTCAGATATATGGCGTATAGAACAAGTTCAAAGGTATTTATCAAATTCAACTCATGTTTATAATAAATTTATTGTTGGTAATAAGGAAACTTTAGAAATAAATCCAAAATTAATGGGAATTAATGTACGTGATGAATTAATAAGATTTTATACAAATTATTATAGTTCTAATATAATGAAGCTTGCAATTATTGGAAATGAATCTTTATCTAAACTTGAAGATATTGTAATAAAATACTTTTCAGATATTAAAGATAAGAATATAAAATTTATAAATATAAATGAAACAAATCCATTAAATACATTAATTGGTTATTTATTAAGAATAAAATCTATTAATGATCAAACTACATTATCAATAATATTTCCAATAACTTATCAAATACCTTTAAATGAATATGATCCATCTCATTATATATCTGAGATGTTAAATAGTAAAACAGAAGATAGTTTATTTGAATATCTAAAATTAAAAGGATGGGCTGATAGATTATCTATTGATTGTTCATCTTATAAATCTGGTTTTTCATATCTTTCAATTGATACTAATTTAACGAATGAGGGTAAAGATAATTTAATTCCAATTATTAATGCAATATTTTATACTGTAAAATTATTAAAAGAATCAAGATTAGATATTAATTTCTTTAAACAATTACAACAAATTACAGATATTGATTTTAAATATTCATCACAAAAATCTACTATATCATTAATTCATGATATAGTATATTATTCACAATATTATCAATGTAAACCTGAAGAGATACTTAAAGTTAACTATTTATTAAAAGAAATGAAGATTAATTATATAAAAGAGATTTTGGACTTATTAGAACCAAATAATATGTTTATTATTTTAAGCCAACCCAATTTTGATTCTTTGAAATATAATCAAATATTTAATAATGAAGTTATATTAAATAATACAAAATATAATGAAGGAATTAATGAAGAACAATATGAAGTATTTTTAAAAGAGAAATATTTTGGGACTGAATATAATTTACAAGAGATACCTAAATATTTTATTAATAAATTACATCATATTAATTCATCTGTAATATTAGATGGAATGGATATAAAATTACCATCTGATAATAAATATATACCAACAGATTTTACTATATATTATCCAATCATAAAACAACAGAAATATCCTATGACTTTATTTAATTCACTTCAAGAATTTGTCAAATATAATAGAATTAAAATATTTAATAGTCAACACGAATATAATGATTTAGATGTAACAGATAAAGTACCAGATATATTAAAATCTATATATTATATTCCAGCTCATAACATTCCTATCCCAAAAAGTTTAATAAATATAAGGTTAATATTTCCTAATATTAATAATATTAAAGATATCATTTCAGATGTTCCATATGAATTTATAAATAATCTATCAGAATATAAAATTGTAATTTTAACTCAATTACTTTCGTTATCACTGCAACTTTCACTAAGTTCAATATTAAGTCTTTCTAATAAGGTTGGAACTACAGTACTCATCAATAGTTTATTTTCATATAATTATAATGGAACACCATATGGTATGGAAATATTTATTGATGGCTTCTCTCATAAAATTCCATTAATATTATATGAATTTGCTTATAATTTAAACAATTCTAGTGAATTTATTAAAAAATATTTTGATCATGTATACGACTTTTTAGTGAAATCATTAAATAATAAAATATTGCACTCAAAGTCATATAAACAGTGTTTAATGTATAATTTTGGCATATTTACTAAGGAATATATTACACCAAATAAATTATTAGAAGAATTGAATAATGTAAAATATCAAGATATTATACATTTCTCAAAGATTATTTCTAATTATAGTAAACTCGAAGGTATTATTATAGGTAATTATACTCCAAGATATTCTATAACTATAATTAAGAAATTCCTTGAGATAATTGGAAATATAAATTATTCAAATCAAATTCCAGATATGAACTTCACATCTGATATTAATTTGTTAAAATATAGGGAAAAACAAAATTTAGATGAATTATCTAATAATACATTATTAAATAAAAGTGGTCAAATCGAAGAAAATATGAATACAAACCAAATAACAAATATATCTGCAAATATACATATGGAGAACCATTTATTAGATAATAATATATTAAATAGTACAAATGTTAAGAATACACTAATTTCAACTAAAACTTCAAATAACAAATTATCAAATTTTGTAAATATGTATGAAGTATTAGATATGTTTTCATTACCAGAGAGATATAAAAATTCTTATTATTTTAATAAATGTACTGATCCTGAAGATATTAATAGTGCTGTAACATTAACATTACCTATTCCCGAATATACAGAAACAAATATGTCATTACTAACTTTAGTTCATATCTTATTTAATGAAAAATTTTTCAGTGATTTACGTACAAAACAACAATTAGGTTATATTGTTAATTCTAGTCCTAGTAATGTTGGAGATCAAGTATTATGCTATATATTTATTATCCAATCATCTCAATATGATGTAAAGTATATTACAGAGAGAATTCTTGATTTTCATGAAAATAAATTTAATATTCATAATATTGATATAGAATCTTTCGAATTGGCTAGAAAGTCAATTATATCTCAATTGAAAATACCTCCAAGATCTTTAGGAAATTTAGGAAAAATGTATGTATCTGAAATTGTAATGAAGAGATTTAATTTTAACTGGAAAGAAATAAGAATCAATTATCTGCAGAATTTAAAATATGAGGAATTTATTGAATGGTTTAATAAAACATTTTCAAACTCTCCAAAATTAATAACAACAGTTCAATCACAAAATATAAGTGAGGAAAAATTATCTATTGATGAAATTGAAAATTATATACCAAATGGTTTTATAAAATTAAATGATACACAAGAATTATTTAAACTAGAAAATATCAAAACATTTAAATTAACAGAATAAGTTTTTCTTCTTTTTTTATATATTCATATTATTAAAGTTGTCGCTTCATTATATTACAATTTAGTATAAATATATCCTAATCAGAATTACAACTAATTCTAATTTATGTCAAGTTTTTTACCTAAGATAGTTCTAATTTAAATATAGATCATATAATAATCAACTACTAAATAATGAAAGGGAGTTTATGAAAATTGTACTGAAAAATGTTAAGTTTTTATTTTAAATTAACTAGTGAAAATACCTAATAGCAAAAATATATACATTTAAAGGATATAGATTAAATTCTTAACAAAAATATTATTAAAAGTCTTTGAATAAATTTAAATAATTATTCTGAAGTTGATAATTATCTTATTATAAGGAGATATCATATTCACCTACAACTAATAGAAGTTACAACTTGTTTTTATTTATATCATTCTTATTTTATGTTAGCAGGTATCTAGTTCTAAGTAATATTTTTTTGAAAATATTTCTACTTTCATACTAATAAATAAAAACAATTTTTCGTTCAATATTAAATAATCTGAATCAGGAATAATGATTTCCAAATGGTCTTATATAAAAGTATATTTTTATTTAAAATAATGTCTCTACAAAATATTTCTGGAATTAATTGGAAGATTAAACTAACATCTAACTTTTAAAAGGTTTATTTGAATAAATGAAAGTATTCAATAAATAGATATTTAACTCCCTGAGTTATATTTGAGGATATATTATTAGATATTTTAATATCTAAGGCAACTATTGAATTTTTATATCTCAAATATTAAAGATAAATTTAAATATCCTCTTGTAAGATTAATGAACATTAAGGGCTCTCTATTAAGAAGAGTTAATTCTTGATATAAAGTGAGATTGGATATACTTATCCTAAAACTATTAATATTAAGTTATTCAATAGATTTATTAGTTAAATTCTAATTTATTCTTTAATTTAAAATTTAGTATTCTGTATTGCAATTTATCTTATGTAATCACTACAAAACCCTACAATCAATAAATTATAACAATTAAATTAAAGTTTGTAGTATATCTTAGATATTTTCTGATAAAAAGTTTACTAAAGAGATTCAATTTATCTAAACATTTTGTAGTTAAAATATAATTTCAGGGTGATAGATAATTCTGTAAGTGCATCAACGTGGCATTGCAATTACAGTATTAGCTATAGTAGATTATTTTATAGATCTTGAATATAATTGAATAAATAAAAAATAATAATATAAATATATTATTAAATTAAATATACTAAAAGTAGAAAGTTTAATCTATATCTATAAATAGTAATACTTTTACTCCATAAGTATTCTGATGTTAGAATATATTGAGAAATAGTTTACAGAATCCACTTTTTTTCTCTATAGCAAGTGTTGTAACTGGTATACTCTGCAATAGTTAGTATATAACTTTTAAGTAATAAGTTTTATTCAAGCGTGGCGCTGAGATTAAGCTGTAACTGAGCATGCTCGTTATAGAATAAGTGTGGGTAGCAATATTAAAGATTTGTCATTAATAAGAAATTAGTATTTATGTAACTTTAATAATGCGTAATAGGACTAAAAATAGTACGGCAGAGGCTTTATCAACTTTAAGAAAAGTGAGGGAGGGAAAGATTAGAGCTATTGATGTATACTTAGTAGAGAATGAGAAGATTTATGATGAAGTAGATGAAATAGAGTATCAAAAAATTTGTGAAGAAAGGCGTAAGAGTGATTTTGTAGTCGATGATGATGGAATTGGATATCAAGATGATGGTCATGATTTATTAGATAATTACTATCACATACCTGAGCAAGATTATAAACAAAATAGAATTGATGAGAAAAAAAAACGTAGAAAGAATTATGAAGACTATAAAATTACAGAACAATCAATATTCAAGCAATTTCAGGATATATCTATATTTACTAATAAAAATATATCTAGCAATAAGAGTAGTAGTATAAATCCTTGTAAAACTGATGATATACTGAATACATTAGAGTCTTTTGAAGCAGAATTAGAAATTGAAGAGTTGGAAAATATACCAAATGACTCCAATGATATAGATAAAAAAATAAGATATGATTTGGAAATATTAAAAGTAGAGGATGATGTGAAAACACCACTAGATACGAGTCTACAAGGTGATGACAAGTCTATTAAAATAAAGTGTTCAGAAGAACAAAATAATCAGCACAAATTGATTAAGGAGGACAAGGAATATGGTAAATTAAATGATGAAACTATAGAAAAAGAATTTGATACTTTCAACTTAGATTATAATTTAGTAATGCCTGAATCAGACGATACAAAGCATGAAAATGACAGTATTATAGATAATTCAAATACAGAAACTTTTTTAGTGCAAGAAAAGATTTCATTTATGAGTTTTAGAGATAATAAATCAAATGAAATGGTTAATATAATACCAATAGAAGATGTGAATGAATGTCTGAGTTTTTATATTGTGGATATTGCAGAAGATTTCAATTCAGGCGAGATATATTTATTTGGTAAAATATTTACTCAGAATTTGAGTAATATGAGTAATGAGCAAATGGAACTTAATGAAAGTGCTTGTATTATTATCCAAAATACTTATAGATCATTGTATATATACCCTAAAGATGCATATCCAGAACATCCAAATCCAGTGGATATATGTCAGTCAGTAGCAAAGGAAATGATTTCAATAAGGAAGAAGTACAATATCCCCCAAATAAAGATGAAACCTGTTATAAGAAATTTTGCTTTTACTCAATCTGGAGTAAAGTACGGTCCAAACCAGCCATTTCTTAAAGTATTATACCCTAGTAAAAATCCCAATTTACCAAATAATATAAAGGGTGAAACATTTTCTCACATATTTGGTTTAAATAAATCCTTAGTAGAAAATTTTATTATTAAAAGAAGAATAAAAGGACCTTCTTGGTTAAAAATAATGAAACCCTATAAAGTTGTATCAGTTGGAGATGGTCGAAGGTCTCAATGCAAGGTTGAGATCCATGTATCCACCTGGAAAAATATTAGAATATGGAATGCTCTAATTAGTAAGAAATTACTGATCAATAAAAATACTGAGATATTGGATGATTGTAATGTGGACTCGAAAGCTATTAGTAATAATTTAAATGATATTAATGGAGACGATAGTACAACAAATTATGATGATGGCCCTATTCCTAATTCACCTCCCTTGACATTAGTATCAATAAAAGTTCAATGTGGTAGACAAGGGAACTCTACAGTATCAGAGATTTATAGTATATCAATAGTTGCTTTAAGAAATCAGAATATAGATGAATTATGTTGGGATGAATTTAATGTTGATAATATTTTGCAAAATAAATCCTGTAAACATTATTGTATATATCCCTGGGTTGGGATAAGAAGATATAATATAAATACTCCATTTCCTATTAATGTTGAAGAGTACATGAATAAATCAGGGATATATTACTATTCCTCTGAAAAGTCTTTATTATTAGCTTTTGTAATGGCAATTTCTCAACTAGACCCAGATATTATTATAGGTCATAATATATGGAATGAGCATTTGGATATTCTATGTAATAGATTGTTAACTTTGAATACCCCTAATATTTGGAAATTAGGAAAATTGAATGTATTTGGATCTTCTTTAGGTAGCTCTTTTAAACAGTCATTGCAAAAGTTACCTTCTGGAATTAAAAGAATACAAGCATTATTGACTGGACGTCTTATTTGTGATACTTGTTTATCTAGCAGAGAATTTCTTAAAAGTAGAACAAATTATCAATTGCATTCTATTTGTATGGATATATTTCCTAATGATGTGAAGCTTCATTCTGCACTTGAAGGATCTAATCAAATTATTGATTTATATAAATCTGTCTATTCATCAATAGAGACAATTCATAAATCTATTTGTAGGAATTTTTATGAAGCTTTAGGAGTTTTAAAATTACTATTTCATTTACAGGTACTACCATTAACAAGAGAATTAACAAATATAGCAGGATTTCTTTGGTCTAAGAGTTTACTTAACCTTCGAGCTGAGCGTAATGAATATCTCTTATTACATGAATTCCACCAAGCTAAATTTGTTACTCCAGATAAAATTACTAAGATTTCATCTTATAACAAGAGCCAGTCTCAAAGACTTCATGAAGATACAGATACTCCAGAAGCAGAGGATGAAATATCATATACAGGGGGGCTTGTACTTGAACCTCTTATAGGTTTATATGACAGATTTGTAATTCTTCTAGATTTTAACTCTTTATATCCTTCTATCATCCAAGAATTTAATATATGTTTTACTAAGAGAAATATTGGAAAAATAAGCAATATTGATGATATAACAAAGAAAAGTCAGGAAGTAAGTAATCTAAACTCAGAAGCAGAAATATATTCAGATGAAAATATTTTTGAGTATCAGGGAGATATTAAAGATTCACTAATGAATAACTTTGGGACCTTAAAATTTGATAAAATTATTTTACCAGGTATTCTAGAAAGTCTTGTTAGAAGAAGAAAACATATCAAGGATATTTTAAAGAATTTAAATAGTACAAGTCCATCCAGGAGATTACAATTGGAAATAAGACAATTAGCTTTGAAACTTACAGCTAACTCACTTTATGGTTGTCTCGGATACAAAAATTCAAGGTTTTATGCAAGGGATTTGGCTTCAACAATTACACTATATGGTCGCCAAATTCTCCAAAGTGCTAAAAATAAAGTTGAAGATGAACTTAAATTACAAGTTATATATGGGGATACTGATAGTATAATGGTAAATACAGGCATACTGGATGAGGGGGATGGATATGGCTATCAACAAGTTTTGAAATTGGCAAATCAGATAAAACAGTCAATTAATAAGGACTATAAAAAACTTGAAATAGATCTTGATGATGTTTTACAACGTCTACTTCTTCTTAAGAAAAAGAAGTATGCCTGTGTAAAGGTATTAGATTATTATAAAAGACAATTTAAACTAGAATATAAAGGTTTAGATTTAGTTCGGAGAGATTGGTCAAAATTAACTAGGGATATATCGAAAGCTATATTAAATTCAATATTTTCAAACAAGCCAATTGAAGAAGTAATTTTAGATATCTTAACACTGTTAGAGGATCTTAATGAAAAATTAAATAATAAAACAATTGAAGCTGATTATTTCATAATTACTAAAGCATTAAATAAACTTCCTCAATATTATTCAGATCCCTTTCAACTACCTCACGTTATTGTAGCTAAAAGATTGATTAATTCTGGACATCCTATTAGACCAGGGACTGAGATATCATATATTATATGTATGGAAGAACTTCCAAATCTTGAGATTAGCCAGAATTCTAATAAACCTCAATCAGGATCATCTTTAGGGAGAAGGGCATACTCTTTAGATGAAGTTAAACAACAAAATTTAGAAATTGATATTGAATGGTATAAGAGCCAACAATTACTGCCTCCAATATCACGTCTTTGTGCCCCAATTCCTGGTTTAGAAATATATAGATTAGCTTCTTGCTTAGGTTTAGACTCCAAGTATTTTTATGAAATTGTTCATAAAGAAGAAAATGATCAACACCAAGATCCATTCCTTCCTTTCCAATGGAAAAAATCTCCTGAAAATTATGATTCAGTTCCAATATTGGCTTCTTTACCTTGTTTATTCTGTCGTAAGAATGGTAATGACGAGTCACAAATGATCATTAATTGCCTAAAAGAAAATTTATGGACTTGTAATGTTTGTTCAAATAAATATCCACTGGAATATCTCACAAACTGGTTAAATAATCACCTTAGATCACTCACTTTAGGTTGTTATTCTGCATTTTGTGGAACTTGTAAAGAGTGCAACATTTCTACTAGACGTATACTATTAAGTAATGGATATAACTGTCCACAGTTGCATTGCAAGTCTAAGAATTCTCTAAACTGTGAAGTATCTCCTCATAGAATCTGGCTATATTTAGATCATTGGCTGTACTGGTTAAATTTGAATATTTTAAATAATTCAAAGACAACTTCTAATTCTCTTGTAAATAATCATGAATATACAAATTCTTACCTAAAAGATATTATAAACAAATTTATGAATATGAATAGATATAACAATATTCCTGTTTATGATATATTTCAGATAGTTTTGAATAAGAGAAAATATACTAATAGATCTTATAATTTTGAGGAGCAAAGTCAATATTTAACGAAATTGTGGAGTATTAGTCAAATTCCGGATATTAGCACTTCAAACTAAAGTGTACATTTATTTATAGATTTATATTTAGATAATATAAACTATTAGTTATACATATCTTGGAACTCAAAAATATTCAATTTATTAGTTAACCTTTGTTTATTTATCCAGGTTTAATATATCAATGACTGGTTAATTTATATAATCAAAGTGTTTCCTAATATACTACAAACCTGACAAAGTATGCCTTAACTAGAAACAATCTTCAATTTTCTAGTAATTAATAAATACTGTTATAATTTATATATCTTATGTATTCGGTATTATAAAAAAAAATTTATATTATATATCAAGGATTCATAAAAAAATAATTTTTATTTCTTTGTTGAAGTTATAATTATAATAATAATCAAAATAACAACAGCTACTGTTAATATTCCACACAATATACGGACACAAAAATCTGTAGCTGCATCTCTAGCAATAGCACGAATAGTTATTTTGGCTCTGTTCAAGTTATAATCAACATCACCTAAACCTGCTCTTATCTTTTCTAATTGTTCCTCTTGAATATGTATTTTACTCAAAGCTTCATCACCTAACTTTTCAGTTTCTACGATCTTTTTCTTCATTCTAGTTACTGAGTTACTAGATAACTTCAAGAATGCATTTCCTTTTTCTACTAGTGATAGGTCACTATGTACCACTTCTTCACTTTCGTCCTGATAACTTGGGACCTTAGTCAATGAACTAAGATACTCCTTATCTCTAAGGGTCATTTCAATAAAGCTAATCTTATCCATGCGAGACTTCAGGATATCTTCCACTTTTGCCTTAGTTTCAATTTTATCGATATTTCTTAAATTTGTTCTAATGCCTTCAAGCATATCCTTTATACTTTGTGAATAATATGTCACTGTAGAGTCACCATATCTCTTAGTTGCTGCTAAACCATGATAACTAGCTATTAATGAGTCCAAGCGTGAAATTTCATTAAAAATATTATCAGTTAACATGGAATAATGTTGGTTAGTTCCTTTTTTTTCAATACTGTTTTTGGTACCTGAATTTGGAGCATGGAATCCACCCGCCTACTTCATGCTGCAAGGAAGCTTTGTAACTTTGTATATACTGAGCTCTCAGTCTGGCTAATTATATGTGTCAATTCTTCTGCAATATAACGAAAATCAGGTCTTCTCCTCCAATCATGATTTAATATAGACTTTAATAGATCACATAAACGTTTGGGTACATTATATGGGATCTGTAAAATATTAAGACCTGCTGCATTGGTTACCATTGCTAGCCCAGCATTCATTCCTTCATATGATATAGTTTCAGATAATATTTCCCACAAAGTAATCCCAAATGACCATACATCACTCTGCTCATAGAATCCTTCACCTCTCAAAACCTCAGGTGCAGCATAATAAACATTTCCAAATAAAGAAATAGTTGATCTAGAATCATTATCTGATATTGGTACAGCTATGCCAAAATCCCCAACTTTACCTCTGGAAACTCCATTTATATTAGATATAAAATAGTTACTTAGCTTAAGATCTCTATGAAGAATCCCACAATTATGAACATGTGTCATTCCCCAAGCTATATCTTTTAGCCAAGATAATAACTGTATCCTGTCAACATATTTATTTCTTATACAATTCACACTACTAAACTTATTTCTAAATACGTATTTATCCATACTTCCTCCTTCACAATATTCTAAAAGTAAAGATTCATAACCAGCACCTACCTGACTAGTACCATAGCACTTTACTATGTTAGGATGTGATTGGAGCATAAAAAGTATTTTACCTTCCCAATCTCTTTGTTTAACTGGAGTTGGTAAGTACCTGTATAAGTTCAAACCCATTATCTGACTTCCTCTATATTTGTATAAATACTGCTGGGGAAAATTGGATGAATGATGTGGTGGAGTACCTGTAATGGTATGTGTAGGTGGCTTGAGCTTTTTATCTTTATCATATTGAATTATAGATTCTAAAGAAGAATTAATTGAATCACTAACATTATTAGTGCTAGTATCAAAGCTATCATAGAATTTTGTATTAAATGCAAATATTTTACAAACTATTGGAGTTCTATTTAGAAAACCTTTCCTTACAAATCCATAAGCTCCCTCACCAAGATGTTGTCCCAGTTTTATCATAAATGCAGGAATATATGGTAAGTATATTGTTCCTAATTTACGTCTGTTAACAGGTAATAGTGGATCTGAAGGATCTATTGAATTCCACAATTGTTTAAATAAACTTATAATAAATCTCCTTGAATAAGCATTTGTAACTCCAATCTGTATTAGGTCACAGTGTGAAATCCTTGAAATATCAGATCCTCTTATATGATGCCTCTGAATAAGTAAAGCTTCATTTATAAGACCAACAGAAGCTAAGAAACGTGTTAAAGTGCCTCTACTCCAATGGAAGCATTCAGATGCTGTCAGTGGTAATGGGTATAAATTATTAACTTTGAAATTATCTGTATTTTGTGATGATTTCCTAGATTCTGATGTTGTTCTACTTAAAACTTCATTAGAAAAATCTTGGAAATATCCAAGACAATCAAGCTCATCTACAGTAGGAGAACTATAAAGAGTTTCAGGAAATGTTGCACCTCTTCTATAAATATACTTTAAATCCATATCATTCTTCCTTTTATTCTCTGGTATTAACATATTTTTCTTTTTATTTGAATCCGACTCATAACTAGGTAAAATAGAATAATTTAGTGTCTTTATTTTCCTAGATCTTCTCTTTATAATTGGAGTATTTGATATATCTACAGGTATACCCCCAATTAATAATTTTGGGATTTTTGAGTCATCTATTACATTATTAGATATTTTATAAAACTCTTTAGATTCTTCTTTAGCTATCAAGGTATCGTCTTCATAAGTTGTTTTATCATGTAATTCCAAAAATTCAAAAAAAGGATTCTCTCTACATATTTCGCTATCATCTGATATAATTTTTGCCTCTTTACCAGCTAATATAAACACTTTTGGATTCCTCTTTATACCTCTAAAACCCATTTCAACCATTGAAACGTGATAGCATATATACCAACTATAAGCAATATCATAATTCCACATGCCTTCATAAATTATTTTCTGCATATCAGCTAGTATACCCCAGCCATGTCTTTTATTATCTATTGTTTCACCATAATAGTAATAGATTTTCTGTCCCTTAAGTCTACTTATAATAGGATCAATACCACTTGTTAAGATAATATTTCTATATTGCCTCTTTATACCTTTGTATTTATTTCTGCGAGTAATGTTTAATTTCTCAGTATCTCTGTTATAACTATCAGCTTCTATTTCTATACCTCCTGTATCAAAGACAATCATTGCCTTATATTTCGTAGATAAAGTGGTAGAAATCCCCTTAGATTCTAACTCATATAAAGGATCAAATGAACTATTTGCATTATTATTTAGATTTAGAGTCTTTAATCTTCTATCTGTACGTGAAGTTTCAATATGAGACAAACCTTTAATGGATATAGGATCTCCTAATGTTTTCATTGATAGCTTTACTAACAAATCCCTATTCAAACAGTGAAAAATTCCCTAAAGTTCAATTCTAATAAATTTCGAATTATTTATACCTATTACTTTTACCTAATTTGCGATTCACGTGTATCGATGCACTAATATTTTGTATCATATAAAGCGCGATTTTAAATATATAAAACGTTATTTGTGTCTTTAATCTTAGTAGTTATATTTTAAGTAACTGGAAATTATATAAGTAGCTCTGGATACATTATTAGTTATTAATTAAGGTTAATATTAAGTTGTATTCTAAATTTGATTATATTATCAAGAATGATTAGAACTACTTTCTTATTAAAGATGATAGTATTAATCCGTTTTGGATATCTCTCATCTTAAAGATATTTTCTTGAGCTTGAATAATTAAGCAATGCTTGCGGTCATAGTTACTCTGACTTGATAATATTGCAATATTAATAGTTTGGAATCTGTGAGGTTCTATATTACTTTTCATTACAATAAAGTAACACCACTATTCTTTATAATATAAAGATATATAATTATAGTTGAATTTATCAATTAAATTGCTTAATCATATACACTTATTAAGGACGCTAATTCTCCTATAATTATGTAATTGTATTATATATAGAAATGTATGAAACTCCCTATAGCTTAATAGTACATAGAAATAATTGGTAAAGAGTTATAATGTCAAATATCAAACATAAATATAATTAATTTATTAAATTGTATTAATATTTATACCACATATTTCAATATGAATATGTTCTATGACTTTCCAAATGAGCCAAAATACGTTCAATTTCATCATCTGGAAGTCTTGCTAAGGATGGTATAAGTGCCTAATTTTTAATTAAAAAAAAAGTTAATATTCTTAATAAGTAAACTGCTTATAATAGATATTATGTTAATTTACTTACCTTTGTTTCATCAGGTGTTTTAGGTAAAAGATTAACTAAACATGAAATCTCATATTCATGAAGTTCCTTATTTTCATCCAATGCCCTATAATAGAAAAATTAATTTGATTATCTCCTTATAAATATGTTTATATCAACATACTCTCTAAGTAACATTACTGAGGCTCTATTTTTAATTTTACCAAATTTTGTAGCATATTGATGTGATGATTTCATTAGATTATGAGCTTCGCCTGATTTCATTGGGTGTAATCTTAGGCGATCCTCTAATAAAAGACGGAGTTCACACAAATTTAGACATTTAGCTCCCTTCAATTCTAAGATTAAATTTGTTAGAATTTAGATGTGCCTTATTAGATAATAATAATTAAATCTTGTATATTTTCTTTACTTACTTTTTCCAAATTCAAGTTTATCCACATCTACATTATCTTCCATTTAGAAATAAAATAATATAACAGTAAATATATACAAAATCTAATTAATTTTTTACTTCTTAAAAAGAAATTGGGGATTTCTACTTAATTTTAGAGAACTCATAGTATTGTAGAATTGGGATTTTCTAGAGTTTTGTGCTTAGCGCCAATGATGCTATCAAAATTTAGTTGTTAAAACTCTTGCCAATAACTAAATGAAGGTTAGTTTTTTTAAATATATTGTAGATTATTAAGGCAGGGAACTTAGTTTTATATTTCGTCTCTTTTATAGATTGCTGTACAAGGATGTTGTCATGGAGAATTAAATAGGTTATATGAAAGTATAGAGAGAATGCAAAATGATACTGGAAATAAAGTAGATCTTATTATATGTTGTGGTGATTTTCATACAATTAGAAATAATGATGATCTTCAAAATATGGCTATAAAATCTCATAAAGCTCATCTTGGAGATTTTTCTGACTATTATAATGGAAATAAAATAGCTCCAATTCTAACAGTATTTGTAGGTGGTAACCATGAAGTTCCAGATGTTCTAATTCCATTATACTTTGGTGGTTGGGTAGCTCCAAATATATTTTATCTTGGATATACAGGTGTTATTAAAATTGGTGGAATACGTATTGCTGGAATATCTGGTATATATAAAGATTATGATTTTTATCGTGGATATTATGAAGAACCTCCATTTTCAGAATCAAGTAAGAGAAGCTGGTATCATATCAGATGGTATGAAATGCAGAAATTGATGCTATTAGATAATTCTGAAGGATCATGTGTAGATATTATGATATCCCATGATTGGCCAAATGGGATTGAGAGATTTGGAAATCTCAGGTATCTTCTTAAGCGTAAACCTTTTTTTAAAGATGACATAGAAAATGGAAACTTCGGAATACGTGGTTGTATGGATATTATGATGCATCTGAAACCAAAATATTGGTTTTCTGGTCATCATCATTGCTATTTTGAAGCTTCTATTCCAATTAAAGAATCAATTTCTAGTTCAAGCAAACAAAACACCATAGAATTTAGAGCTATTGACAAATTTAAACCTTTTGGATGCTCTATAAGATATTTTAATATTTTTTGTAATAATAAAATAAATGATAATGAAACAAAAGAACTCAAAATTGAATTTGATATTGAATGGTTATCAATACAAAGATGTTCTCTGAAAAATTATCCAAAAGGTAACTTCAAAATTTTAAATAATGAAGTATTAAATTTACAAAAACCCTCAATTGATGATAGAATTTTTATTGATGAGTACTTAAAAAAATTAAATCAACAAGATATATCAGAAAATAATGAAGATATAGATGAATTATCTGAAGAATCTATTCAATGGAATTTTAAAACAAGTACTAATATTAATAATTTGATTTATAAAGATAGGAAATATATTCAGTGGCCTCATTGGGATTCTACAAAAGGTAATTATAAGGATTATAAAGCTCAAAGAAATTTTATTTTAGATATTATTGGTCATAAAGATATATTGTAGAAATATATTGTAATATATATAAAACTTTCTATTATACTAAAGAGATTATTAAGATTAACAAGGATATTTATATTTAAAGTATTTCTATATATTTTACTTGTTCAGAAAATAATATATCAATTTATAAAAAAAAAAAGAAGTTAAATATTTTGTACTCTAATATATATCTAATAAATATAAAAAATAAATAAAACTAAGGATAACAATAAAATTTTATAATTAAATGTAATCTTCAAATTTGATATAGAGGATGACTCTTTTACTTGAAGTAAATCCATTGTATATGGCGTATCTGCTGCTATCATTGAAATATCATGAGAATTTGGATTCCCAGATACCATGAACGTATAATTAATAGAATCTGAATAATTTACTTTAGTATTGTTATCAGAATTATTTCCTTTTAAATTAATATGTTCTAATTTTGAGTTATTATTTGAATATATATAATTATCAGATAAATCTGTTTGATTTTGAATTCCAGCAAATAATGTATTGTGTATTTCATGATCAAAATTCTTCTTAATTTTCCCAAACTGGTCAATACTTGTTTTACCCATTGAATTTCCCATATAAAAAATATTACTATTATTACTATTATTTCTCTTAATATTTCTTGATAATATTTCATTAGGTATTTCATCATTAACACTTTTTATATCTAAAGAAATATTACTATTAATACCAAATTCTAATTTTTTTTTATCATTATTATATGATTCTATTCTTAAATACTTAACAATTCTATTAGATAAATCTGTAATGTCAGTAAGATTATCATTTTTTACTTGATAATAAAAATTCAAATCAATCATTGGATCAGGTAAAATTGTCAATATCTCAATAATAATCGTCTTTAAACATAAAATTGGTATTAAAACCAAATTAGAAATAAAAGTATGTCCACTAGGATCAGAAATAGCTGACATTAAGAGTGTTTCCAATCTTTTTAAATCAAGCTTTGTTATATCTATCTTATCATTCGTAATCTTATATATTGGAAATGATCTTATACACTTTGTAGTATATCTCCTCCAATCTTTATCAGATTTTATTTTTTGTATAATATTTTGAATATCATCTATCATTAATTTTGAATATTTATTATTATTAGATATTTGGAAATTCAAATTATTTTTTAACATATTTGAAAATCTTGCTATTTTTGAATGTTTCTTAATCCATGTATTTTGTTTAGAACTAAGATTTTCCATAATAACTTTATCTCCTATATTAATCATATTATTTATATCATAATTTGATCTTTTAAATCTATCAGATAATACTGATAAAATCCATTCATTATGATAATCAATACATTTCTCAATATTATCACCTAATATTGTTTCTATTTTATTTCCAAATTTCCCTAATTTTTCAAAATATAAATTATATTGAGGTAATAATATTTTCATTAAATTATTCATAGAATTTGGATGTATTTGAATAACTTTTAAATTTCCGGTTGAAAGTATAAGTTGAGAAATAGATATATCACAAATTCCACAAAATAAACTTGTTAAATATTTTACAAAAGCCTCTTGAGCCATAACAAGTACACCATTCTTTAAAAACATATTTATCATATCAGAAGATAATTTTTCTAATTTCTGTAATAATTTTGATTCCAATTCATAAGATTTTTTTAAATTTCCCATTATAAATGATGGAAAATTATCAGTTTTATTTTTTAATATTTTTTCTAATATTATCTCTATCCTATTATTTAATTGATTATCTCTACCAATTAAAATATTATTTGTTAAATTACCAGATGCTACTGCAGCTATTATACATTCAATATTTTTAATTGAATCTGCCATTAAAGATTCATATTTTCCATTACAACAGGTGGCAAATAATTTATTTGACTTATTTTTACATAAACCACTTTTCTCGTATTTAGATAATAATAATGCTGAACAATCTTTTATTATATCATTAACATATAAATTATATATAGGAAATGATTCCTGAGTTTCTTGTATATTATTAACTAGCATTATTGCATCAGAACATGTATTTAGTTCTACCTCAGTTGTTAAATTACTATATTCAGGTTCTAATTTCATTTTATCATTTTCTAATTTAAAACCTTTTATCATACACAAATAATAAAGTAGGTAAATATTAAAAGAGGTTAGTAATATCATTATTACTTATATTAGTAAATATTAAATCAGACTATTTCTGTATTTGTCTGCTTGCATACATATAACGCGCCTGTGTACCAAGTATTCTTCATTTCACTTTTCTATTCTTTATTCAAACTTTTAGAAATAATTATGATGGAATTGTTAAATAAAAAGAGTCATTAAAGTCAATAAAGAGTCAAAAACTCCCAAAGTCTTCTATTTAAAAAGTTATAGTTTGATGCACACATCCTAAGACGTGTCTTAATATTAAGGTGGGCCCTCCAAAATATCAACATAATTCATAGTATAATAAAAATACTTAAAATAAATTTGAAATATATATATTTAGTTATAGACAATATAGTTCTATTGTTATTAAAAAAAAAAGAAAAAGATTTGAAAGAATAATAAATAATAACATCTTTAAATATGGCATGCCGCGCGCGCCACATGTTTTTTTCCACACAAATATTGGCAATGTTGGCTATTGAGGGGTAGTTTTGTATCACCAGTATTTTTTTTTCACTGCTATTTAGAAAAAAAATAAAATCAAACTTTAAATATTACTAATTTTTTGAAATTTCAGCATTTGATTATGTAATTTGGCTATCTTTGGTAATAAGAAGTATGAGTTTTACTGAGGAAGAGAGATCTGAGTGTGTTACCACACCGCGTTGCTCAAAATTTAAAAGCGATGACATGTGGATACATGCTCCTGATGCAAGGCGAGCTACTAAGATGCTCATATTCTATGATGAAGAAGATATTGATTGTGTGGATGATTTTTGTACATCTAACACAACTTTTACTTCATTAAATATAGATGACGTTTCTACTCCGAAAATTGAAAAAAAAACTGTAATTGACTGTAGGCCTAGTATATTGAGTACTGCAGATGCACATAGATTATCAATTGATGATGAAGATTATGAAGGGGATATATTTGATGACAATATAAACTATGCAGTTCGGCATAACTGTATTTCACCAGAATTAACGAAAAAGATAAAGTGCCCGATTACAATAAATAAAAGAAGGCGAGATTCTTATGGTGATTCACTTGAACTCGCTTCAATTATGCGTAAGATATTAAAGATATCTTAATTCCTCTTTATCTTAATAATAGAAAAAAATATAAGTTGTGGGAAAAATCTCACTTAAATAATTATTTATTTATTCAATTATTCTCTAAATTCTAATCTTTATTGTAAACTAATATATTATTGTCTTATATTACTAATTTATTAAATTGGATTAGAGGATAAGATTAGATTTTATAATATTATAAATATAATTTACAAGATCATAACATATTATTATTGATATAAAGGAATCAAAATTAGTATTCAACATCTTTTTAAATAATTCAATCAAGGTTATAAACAATTGAAATAACCTTAACCTTAAATTTATCTTAAAAAAATAGAATATAAAATACAATATATGTATATATAGATCATTTTACAGTATTCATTTGAATTATATTAAACTTAAAGTCATAAACTAGTTCATTAATTGTATATATTTAAATTAATTCTTTACAATTTCTTAGTTGAGAACTATTTTAAATGAATATTTACTAAACGAATTATTTTATTATACTTATTAGTAAATATATATTAGATTACTAAGTTAATATATACATTATTATTAAATAACATCTAAAAGTTTGTATTGATTTAATAAATTATCAAAATTATAAGATATTTTATAACATTGAATATTATTTATTTATTATTTGATTTATTAATAAAACAACATTATAACTTACTTAAATTAATATTAATTTTTCTTATTTATACAACAATATACTAAAATTCATAATTATTAAATGAATATACTTATAGTAAAACTTCTAACATATCATGTTATCAAACTGATTATAATTTGTTATAATAATAAAGGGGAAAAATGACAATAGTATAATTTTAATCATACATTACATTAAAAATATTTTTATTATATTTGAAATAATAAAATATAGTGAAAATGATTTATATTTTATAGAGTTGTATTTCTAATAACTTTAAAATAAAAATTTCTATGAATATTATATATCAATAAATATTTAAAGAAATATATAAAATATATTTAAATTACTTTTTGTTTGCCTAATATATATGCTAGAAAATATTTAAAAAGATACAAAAGGCATTAATATCATAATAACTTATTTCATTATTATTTAAAAACTAATTTTATTTTCATGAAAAGTGTATGTAAGAATATAACTAGTTATTTTAGATTTACTTTTTCTAAATATAGTAATAAATTTTATAAAATGTGTTTAGATTTTAATTATATTGTGTTCCAAGCAAAATTGTCAGTTTTATTAAAAAAATGTTAATAATAGATATTAAAATAAGCTAAATTTTAAGAAATAAAATTCCACTTTAATATCTTTATTTTTAACTATTTTAACAAACATTGTACATAATATTTTAGAGATAAATAATACTATTTTGTTAAAGAGTATTATCTGATTATTAAAAATATATTTCATTAACTTTAAGAGAGATATAATGTAACTTATTTAAAAATTCTGAAGAGTTACTGAATAAGGAAACTTTTGAATATTATTCTAGCTTTATTTTATAGCTTTATTGATATAATCTTACCTATTTGCAAAATAAATAAATAGTTCTATAATTGAATATAATATTAAGAATTTGTAAATATATTTTATAGAAAAATAAGCTTGTATATTTAAATAAATGAGTAACTAACTAAACAAAATCTGTAGATTTATTATATATATACATACATTATTTTAAGAAAAAAACCCCTCCAATCTGAGTCATAGTAATATAGACCATAATTCAGAATAATTTTTTTTATTAACTTCTTTTAATCATTTAAAAATAGTCAACATTAAAATTCTTATAAAAACAAGATATAACCAGCCGCGTGGACTATCTACAAGGTTAAAGATAGTTGTAATGCAAAATTGGGTAATAATATCCCTATAAAATTAAAAGCTTAAGATTTATACTAATACTTCAATTTATAATTAGATGTTTAAAATATCGCATTGAAATAAATTTTAAGAATGTATTCTGAGGAGTTAACTAATAAACAAGATACTAGTGCAATCACAATTAATGAAACTTTTGAAAGTATCGAGACATCTAGTAAATCACCAGGATTGGAAGATATTTCAGATATTTGTAAAAAGAATATTATATATGTTGAATTAATAATAGGATTTGTAACTATATTTAAAGCAGCAATAGGAACAGGCATTCTATTTTCTCCAAAGGCATTTGCAAATTCAGGATATGTTTCTGGTACTTTTTTAATAATATTTTATTGGTTTATAAATGTAATATCAATATTTACTTTATTAAAATGTACTAATAATATGAATTATTCTTATTCAGAAATTGCAACATTAGCAATGGGAATACCTGGTCGTATAATGGCTGATTTAGCCATTACAACTACAGAGATTTCTTTTACTATAGTTTATATTTCATTTATAACAGATAATATACAAGATATAATAGCAGGAATTTATAATTGTTCAAACAATTATATGAATTATAAACCAGCATTAATAACATTTATTCAACTAGTACTTTATATCCCTTTATTATGTATAGATAGAGTTCAATCATTAGGTTTAATAATGATTTTGGCTAATATATGTCTTATAATTGGGATTTTATCAATAATAATATATTCATCAATAGAATTGTCAAATAACATTTTAAATGGGAAATCTCACTTAATACCATTATATACAAACCCCAATAATGCAGCTGGATTTATCGGCATAGCTGCATTTTTATGGGTATGTGCACCTGTTGTATTATCTTATTACAATTCATTGGAAACATTAAAGTCAAAATTATTGTTTAAATGGGTATACTTATTTTCAATATTTTTAGTATTGATTTTTACTCTAATATTTACATTTATTTCTACTTTTGCATATGGAACTAATGTATTTTCTCCAATAATATTGAATTTGCCATTTACTGTACCAGCTATTATTGTAAAATTACTTTATATATTATCTGTTGTATTTTCATTACCATTACTACTATTTCCAGTTAAAGAGATTGTAAAAAATTATATAATTTATATTTTAAGATATTTTAATAATAAAATCTTAAAACTTTCAAATAATCATAATATAGAAATAAGTAATAATAATAATGATAATAACAATGATAATAATAATAATAAACATAGTATAAATGATTATGAATTAAGCTACAAACAGGTATCTAGTAGTATTAGTACTATTGATTTTGATAAAGATGAAAATAGATTAACATTAACTAATTCAAATAGAAATAATCTAACTATTTTGGATAGGTTGAAAAAAGTGTTATTACATTGCTCCATTAAAATGAATAAATCTACTAATAATAAAGTAAAAAGTATGGAAGATAATAATAAAAGAATTGTTCATATCTATTCTTCATTAATAATGATATTAGTTTCTATATTTTGTACTACCATGGGATATTCATTTCGTAATTCATTAACAAATTTGGTTAATATAGTTGGTGGTGTATTTTGTGTCCCTCTGAATACTATTCTTCCATCTCTATTTTATTTATTTATATTTAAAAACAAATTGAATTTAGGGGTTGTTGTATTTCATTCTTTAATAATTTTAATTGGAATTTTGACATCTATCCATGTGATTTGGTATTCTATTATAAATTGGAATGTAACTAGTGAAAATATGTGCAGCTTGATTAACTCAAACAAAACAATATATTTTTAATCTACATTACGACCCAAATATATAATCAAATTATCACTTTAATTATAAACTTAATAATGTAAATAGACTTTATGAAGAGGAACTTATGATAAACTGAAGTTTTATTAATAAATATTGAGTAATTGCAAAATATATTTTACGAAATGGATGGTCTTTGTAGTTTGAAGTTATTAATTAAGTATAATGTTATTTAAATTTATTTATTTCTTACTAGAAACTTAGATTATTTATTTACAATGATATTATAGATAATCCCAATTATTATTATTAAAGTTAATTTCATTATTACTTTAATGAAACTATATTCTTATATTTATTAGGTGTACTAGATATTATAATAGCATAAGATAACTATATTATTAATATTTAATACATTATTCATATATTATTTAAAGTAACTTGTAATAAGTTTATTAAAGTTATTATATGTATTCAACAATTTTGAATAAATTATGAAAAATTATCGCTAATTTAATATAAATTATCTTGTAATTAATATATTATTGAAACAGTTTAGTATTGTACTGAATATAACTGAAAGAATTAGATAATATATCATTTCAAAAGTCATCTTTATTCTTAAATTATAATATATTTTATAAGTATTTTAATAGATAAATGAGATCTTAGTTTTTTTTTTTTTAGTAAGAAAAAATAATATATAAATATTACTAACAGAATATATAATCCAGTATATTTAAAAATTTATTAAAATTTACTCAGATAATTGATCTAAATTAATTATCTTAATAATAATTTTAAATATAATAATTTAAATAATATTTATTTAATCAAAAGTTAATAATTAAATCCAATCTTGTTAAATAATTTAATATAAAAAAATAATTATCAATATATTTTCTTTACTTAGCTTAAATATTTAAATATCTTGAATCTTCATAATATACAATTTTAATTAAAATAATCACTTTCCAAATATAAAAAAGTTTAATTTTAATAGAATCTTGACAATTATAGTATTATAATTTTCAAAAAAGAAAAAAAAAAAAAATAAATGCGTTATATCTTTATTTAAGATACTTAAAAAGTAAAGAAAAAAGATAAATTTAAAAGTATTATTAAAATAGACCTTCCAAGAAAGAAATCCAAGAAGATGTAGCAGCAGTTGTTGTTGTTGTTATACCTTGAAGTGAATTTGATGTATTAGAGTTATCTTCTAAAGATTGAGGGTTTTGAATCTGAGAAATTAATGAATCTAGACTTGAAGTAGGAATACTAATAGATGGAGACATCCCAGATTTTAAAATCCAATATGTTAAAGGAATATAACTTGATGTTCCTGTCATTATAAATTTTGTTATTGGAGAATTTGGAATTTTTAAATTTCCAATCATTGTATTTTGAAAGGTTACAATCAAATTCAAATATGATAAATTAGGCTGAGAAGTTGTATTTGTATTATTAGAATACCTATTTGCAATTTCTAGCTGTTTAACATAAGCATATCTTAGTAAATCTGTAGTTTCAGAAGAGCTCATCCATGATTCAGAAGATTGGCTATCAAAACAACTAGAACTAGAAGAAAATAAACATGGAATATTATTTATATTTAATTCAAGAACATTTAATATTTCATCAGATAAAATAAATATATCACCATCCATCCAATTACCTACTAAAATATTCTCTGATAATGTAACAATATTACTATTAATAGAACTTTTTAATGATATTGTATTTGCTGTAAATTTAATTGTTGCTATTTGTTCTGCAAATGAATATAATTCCATTGTTATAGGTAAATGAGTTTGTTGTGGTAATATAAAACCATATCTTAAATATTCATTATCTTGTGAAAGTCCATTACCTTCTCCAATTGTAATTTGAGCACTTTTACATTTTTGTTCTAATTCTAAAGTACAAGAATTCGCTATAATATTACTAAATCCTTGATTATAGTACCAAGTTGTTGATATAGGTGTACCAGATTCACTAGAAAGTGATAATGATACTGGATATGTATTAGAATTTAAATTAACTAAATTAGCAAGTGGAATTAAATTTTCAGATACAATTAAATAAAACATTGCACCTATCCATGCTAAAGTTAAATTAACAGAATTCATAGATTTCCATTCATTAGAATATGAAATAGTATCGAATTGACCATTATTAAAACCATACATTTTTCCACAACATGTATTAAATTTAATTTGACATATATTTGTCCCTGAAGAATCTGATGCAGAAATTACTAATGGTTCTGAACTAATAGTACTTACAGGAACAATAAATGCAATAGAACTATCTTGTGATTGTATACTACTAGGAATTGAATAAGATGTTCCTGTTAATATAATCTGAGGAGGTAAAGTTGTTGTTGTTGTTGTTGTTGATATTGCTGTTGTTGTTATAGGAAAATTTGTTGTAGTAGTTGTAGTAGTCGTAGTTGTAGTTATAGGAACTGAAGTAGTAGTAGTAGTAGTAGTAGTAGTAGTTGGAGTACTATGATGCGAACCCATAATCTTAGTATCTAAATAAGCTCAATCTTTTTCTTTTTAATAGTTGCTGATTTATTATCAATAGAATTGTAGTAAATAAGTGCACACACAGTTAAACATGTCATTGCATATAGACAAGACATGCCATTAAATATTACCTTAATGTCCATCCTTTAACATCCCTTAACATCATCTCTTAACATTTAAAATTTAATATTAACAATCTAAAAAAGAATAATGTTTCTTAGATTTACATGTTAAGTTTTGATTTCAATTATTTAAATTATAATAAATTGTCATTAATATTTTAATAATATATTTTAAATCTTATATGTTATTAAGATCTCTAGACCAATCTATTTTCCTTTTTTCTTTCTTTTCTTTTTACAAATATTTTTATTTTATACTAATTTATATAAATTATATATATGTGTATTGTGATCTTACAATAAAATTATTATAATTATCCATTATAAAATATAAGTATATACTTTGATATTTATTATATATTAACTTTATTTAATTATGATTACAACTAAATAGTAATTAGTACATAGAATAATCCAAATAAATAATATAAATACCACTTTATTTTATTTATTTCTCCTAGTAATAAATTAAATATTATCTTTAATAAAATATTTAATTACATGAGATACTTCTACCTACTCTTAAATATCATTAGTTAAATCCAAATTCTTCCCATTCTTTTTTTTCTTTAATTTTATATATTTGTCTAATATATATTAGTATTTATTTTCTTAATAAAAATATATAGTTAATATTGTATTAAAACACACTTTAATTTATCAGAATTTCGGGACATCATAAGATTTTATAATTTCGGTATATTTGCGATATAGTTTCTAAACATATTTTGATTTTCTCTAACAATAATTCAATTTATTTTGATTTATTTACACTTATCCTCTATTTATCTTTTACTCATCTTCTATTCATATTTTACTCATATTTTACTCATCTTCAATTTTGAACGAAGCTTCATTAATAATAAAATCCAAAAGGTCTTCACTTTCATCACTTTCCTCCTTTATAGTTTCCATTATATAGTCCCTACAAATTCTTTTTTTCATTTTTTCAGCTTTAATCAATTTCATCTCTAAAACTCTCAATTCTAGCATTAATGCTGAAATTTGTTCTTTTAATAATGAAATCTTTTCTTCAAGTCCTTTTATAAGTTCTCTTCTATTACGAGCTTTTCTTCCATTATAACTTATATTTTGACCTTTACTTCCACCAAAATTAGATTGCTTTTTTTTACTTTTTTGTTTTTTAGGCTTAGTTTTTTTTTCTTCTTTTTGATTAGAATTTATTAGGGACTCTAGTTTTTTTTTGACTCTTTCAATTTGCTCAACTAATAGAGTACACTCTTCACTTATCTCTTTACCTTCACATTTTTTTTTATACTCCCTTTCTAATAATGACAAACGATGTCTAAGACCATATATATTACGTGCATCTTGTTTCATTTTATTTATATCTTTAGATATACCAGCAGTAAGTTTAATCATAGAAGATATTATATATACTGGAGATTTATATTTGAAGATGCTTAAATTAAGTAAAGTCAAATATAAAAAACCAAGTAAAATAAATTTAGTACAACATATCTTGTACATTGTACAAATAGTCGAATTTATTATTATTAACATTGAAATATAAATGTATATATAGCGGCTTGTAATATTTCCGAAATATTAATAAGAATATTTGGATAATGAAATGAAGTTTATTAAAAAAGTAGTCAAAATGAGATATACTTTTTTAAAATATAAAACATGAATATTCTTAAACTAAAGATTGAGATGAAGATAAAGTAAATATTAAAGATATAGCTTTTGATTATAAATAATAAATAGGCATAAATTGTAACATTAAAAATGTAAATTCTATATTTATTCTGTAATATATATATATATAATTATAATATAGTACTTAAGACAAATGATTTCAATTTGCAATATATCCCTAAATCTTTTTTTCTCTCTTTTTAATATTTATATAATTATTATGCTTATATATTTATCTATTAAACTAAATAATATAATATAATATTGACTTGTATATTTTATTCTTGAATATTAAGGTTTTATTTTCTATTTGTAATTTTTATTCTAACATTATAAAATAATGATATATTGAATAGCATGAACTCATTAAAATAATATCTTTATTATGTTATAATTAACTTAAATAATTAATATTTGATAATATTTATATTAATATTAAATACTATTAGATATTGGATTACATTTGTTATTTAAATAATTATTAAATATAAAACAAATTCAGTTTTTTCTAAATGACATTAGAAAAAAGTTATTTTGAATATAGTTTGTAGTTTGTATTTATGGTAATTAATTAATTCATCTATTATTATTTATAAAACACTAGTCAAATATAAATAATATATATAATTTTTAATTATATTTTGATGCTATTATATAAATTTTATAAGTTGATATATTTTATTATATTAAAATGAAAATATAAATCATATATAGTTAGTACATTAATAACAATAATTTATCATATTTTTTATTCTATATTTTCTAATATTATTCAAAATTAAAGATAAGAAATTATTTAATGTAATTATTTCTACATATTGATATTTTTAAGTTGAATCCTATCTAATTCAAGTATTATTAATTGATTAATATTTATATAAATGAAAATAAAAAAAAATGAAGAATATATCATTAACTACCAATAAATATAAATTAAAAATTTTGTATAAGATGAACTATAAAGTTTTATAAGTGACATGAAATATAGAAATTTATATATATATAGTTTAAAAGTAATTTCAATTTCTTATTACAATATATTAGAAAAAGTAGATTTCACAAGCTTTTAGATACTGCTAGCTATTTTAATTATATTATTGTGAAATTATATATAGTGTTAATAATAATATATTTATATATTATAAAATACTGTACTATATAATAAAACTGAAATAATTTATTATTATTAAATATAATATATAATTAGGTAATAAAATAAAAATAAAGATGTAATATTAAAAAGTTACTATGAATATTAATAAATTATTTTTGTTCTATTTTATAGTTTGATTTTGATATATATTAAAATATCAATAATTTTAATTGTTACTATAATAAAACATTGTGTTATTTTTATTAAGTTAAATTAAAATATAAAAAACATATAATGATATTAAATGTATAGATTTATAACTTTATTTTGATATTTTAAGCCATTATTTTGTGATAAAAGTATTTATTTGTTCTTGTTCAATATCAGTTATAATAATAAATATTAATTTAAGATATATATTTTTTGATGGACTTCTTTTATATAATAATTTTAAAGTTATCTTTATGGAATATACAAAGTAATTTAAACATATTTTTATTGCAAAGTGTTTTATTATTAATATTAATAAAGTAATATAAAGTTAAATTATTTTAATTAATAATGAATTAGAAATACATTTTAAAATATTCCTCATGTTTAACAAACATATTCGATATTTATTAAGAATATAGTTATTATCAATATTATCTCACTAATAATGATAATTTATTTAAACATAAATTAATAATAGTCTAGAATATAATAAATTTAATAAATAAATAATAAAAGTAAATATTGAAATGATATACATTTATTATTTGAGTAAATAACTTAATATTAATTAGGTATTCTTATATTTAATTGTAATTTTTTTAATAAATATAATTGGTATTTAAACCGAATAATTTATCAAGAGTAGTTAACTTTATTTTATAAATAGTTCAAAAATGAAAATTTTTCTTTCCTTTTTTACCTATACATTTTGTATTTAATTAACGGACTTTAGCAAGATCATTCACTCTCAGTTTGTAATTGACTTAATTCTTACTAAACTTTTGATATATTTATATTTTAGAATCTTTTTCTCTTAGTAATAATTTCATTTTCTTAGCTAAACTACTACAAAAAAATATATTTTTTGTTCAAATCTTTTGGGACTAAATTCAGGTTAAAATTCTAACTTCAATTTATCTTGCTTTATTATATTCTCATTTTACCTTCTAGTCCATATATAATTAATTGAAGAATAGATTAACTAAAAAAATCTTTTTGATATTTTTAAGTTATTTGAATAGAATTGTATAAATAAATGAGAGTTGGGATTGAATATTTGAGATTGAGGATTTATATTTAAAAGATTGAGTATTAAGATAATGAATATGTAATAAGATATTGATTTGATATGAGTGAATAATAATAAATTATGAGGGTTTAATATTAAGAATATAATAAAATATTAAGTAAATTTATTTGATATTTTCGTTTGTTTTGATAATTAAGAGAGAGACTTTAAATAATTAAATTATATATTTAAATAATTATTTTAAATACTAGATATTAAAAATTGATCCTGAAAATCTATAAGTATGATTGATTTATATCTTATATTATTAAATTGAATATTTTTTATTTTTGTCATTCTTTTTTTTTTAAAAAAAAAAGATGAAATATTTAATTAAGTAATTTTTTTTCTTAATAGAATAAATATACTAGAAGTTTAGAATTTTATAAAAATTAATATCTAATTATATATTTTAATTAATTTTGTGAGTTTATTATTTTATTAAATAATTTAATTAAATAAATTATTCTAAATTATTAAATATAATCCTAAGTATTTATTTTTTAAAATTATTTAATTAAATATTTAAAATTAATAATTAAAGACTTGGTGATATTGATCTAAGTGTAAATATAATATTGAAATTATTTATATTATTAAAAAAAAAATATTTTACTACTTTTATTTTTTTGTTATTTATTTGAATTTTTGATTTAAATATGAATTAATTTAACAATATAAAATAATGTATAATGTATAATACGAGGAATATTATATACACAAATATAAAACAATTATTATCTAGTATTTTTATTTATTTTAATAATTTTCTCAACGATGTAATTTTATATTTTTTTTTAGCTTTAGTTATGTAATTCGATTTTAATTTTTTTAAATCATATTCTAATTTTAATTCACTTATAGTTGATTGTAATATTTCATTTACTTCTAAATCATTAAATTCTTCAAATCTATTTATTTCATCTTCAGCAAACCCTAGTAATAATTTAAATAATTTAGCTATATTTTCTTCTATATTTCCCATATATTCTTTTATATTTCGTTGATTACTTTTCAATATTTTTATACTATTTATAATGAAGTTAATTACTTGATATAATTGTATATTGCAATAACTTTCAAGTTTCTGTATTTAAATTTCTTGAGATTGTCCTATTTATTGATTTAATTTTTCAGTATATTGCTTTTCAAATTCAATTTCTTTTTTTATTTGTTTATTATATCCTGATTTTTCTTTTCTTTCTATCTCTTCTTATATTCTTTTAATATTTATAATATTGTGCATTTTTCTACTCCTTTGATTCTACTTTCTAATTCTGTTGTATCTTTCTCTTCTTTCTTTTTATTTTCTATTTCTTCTTTTAATAATTGAGTTGTACTTTTTGTGGATTTTGTTTTCATCTTTCTCTTATATAGCTTGTATTTTTCTGTCTTATTTGTTTGAGTTGACTTTTAATTCCGTTATATCTTTCCCTTCTTTATTTTTCTCTCTTCTATTTCTTGTTCTAATTAATGTGTCTTGTTATTCTTTTTCTTTTTTTAATAGTATTAGGTTTACCAAGATTAGGTTCTGATATGAGTAAATAACATATGATGAATATTTGATTGAGTATATAATTGGATATTTAATTATATGTATTTAGATAAATGTTTATAAAATTTATCAAAAATTGTCATATTTTGCATTATTTAAAAAAAAGTGATACAACTATATATATTTAGGATTGATGAAAATATTAGTTAAATAAATGTATTTAAAAAAATATATCAAGGAATTTGTTGTTTAGATATTATTGATAAATTTGGAAGTAAATATTGTTTGATTTATGTAACTTAAAAATGAGTGCACTATGTGAAATTATTATTGAGTAAAATTGCAAAAAGTAGTAAATGGTTGTATAATTGAAAATGATTTATGATTAAGAATAAAAGAATAGAAATGTGTAGAGTTAATGAATTAATTGATTTATGAATAAATAAATTTATATTAAAAAATATGGAATTGAGTTTAATAATTAATAAATGAATATTATTATTTATAATTTTAAATTTCTTGATGAATATAAACAGAATGATCTAAGATTGAATTATTAAATGGATTAAAAACATAAATTAGGGTTTATATATTTATACAAAAAAATGTTGAAATATTATGTAATTTATAATTAATTGGGAATTGGAATTTTTTCAGAAAAAGAAAAAAAAGATATATTTAAATATATTTAAGAAATTTTATTGTAAAATTAATTTAATTAGATAAAATTTTTAGATAATGAAAGATAATTACTCTCTAAAATTGTATTTCAAAAAAAAAGAAAAAGTGATAAATATAATAGAACAATGATTAAATTAAGAATAAAGTCTGGAGAATTGAATGAAATATAT